GAGTTTTCCATAACAACAAGTCACGGCCAAATGCAGCCCGGGCTTCGTCAACTATAAGAAGCCTCTTCGGACCACCTGGGTCAAGGAGATCCATCACCTTAACCCGAAGCTTATTGTGTCACTGACGGTAGCAAGATTGATAAAATAAACAGCTTCCCAGTTTGGCGAGCCTTGTGCTCTCCAATATGCCAACTGCAGGAAAGACGTCTTTCCGCTATGAGGCGGAGCCTGTATCAGGACGGCACCTCTCTGCTGAACGAGTTGTAACAACTTCTCTATTGTTGAGTTCCTTGGCGTGTAACGCCCCTTTCTTGCGACTAAGCCCTCAGTTACTGAGCCCAGATTTGGAAACGCGCTGACTAAAGTGTGTAAAAAGGAAACAATATCAGAAACGAATCACTCAGAATGCAGTGAAAGAATGTTAAGGATGTCAACAACAGGGCTTTGATCAAGGGCTACCAGACTCAACTGCAAAAGTGGGTGGGTTGTAAGGGACTGTAAACAAGAAATTTTCTCATTGCGAAAGATTGAGAAAGAGAGCTCGAGAATCTGTTGAAAAGTAGCGAACACTATTGCTTGAGACGTGATCATCAGATCTTCTTTTGCAAAGAAGTTCCAAATCACCATCATGGGAGAGTGGAGTATGGATAAATTAGCTGATTCAAGTTTAGATTTAGTTTCCAAAGTCTTTGCCTGCAAAAATTCGCTCCTCTACTTATTTCAGCGTGTTGTCTTCTTCTTTTGCGTCCTGCAAGAGAGAAATTCACACGATGGGAACAGCGAAGAGAAATCATAAGAACCTTTTCTTGGACTTGACAGCAGACACGAGGTTCCGAGGAGGTTTGAGCTTGTAGATGCGCACCATCCAGTGTTGCGTCGTGAACACCTGAAATAATGATTGTGAAATCATGTGAAATCAATGCGGGAGAAGATCACAGCTTCACGAAAGTTTTCTACCTCCTCGAAGTAGTTCAGCTTGAAGTACTTCTTCCCAATCTCGGTTCTTCTTACTCTATCGTATCCTTTACCATCCGCCTCCGCAAATCTGTATTGTCATCTCCGTCAGAGAAACACGGTATCTAAAACTGAAGGAATCCATACCGGTAGTACGAGAGCTTATACATGAGACAGTTTAGCATCGTTGGCGTTGCCTGAGAGTCAATGCGGTAATGACCATCTCTCTGCAAATCGAGAACTCGATAGAGTTAAAAATCAACGAGAGAGGATGCTTACGAGATAGTCAGGCTCCCTAATATGCGGGAAAACCCCTCCCCCTATCCGCACCATCCACAAAAACTTGTTGATATCATCGCTTGGATATCCCACCAGACCTGTTCAAACCATCAGCTATCAACGAATCAAGCAGGAAAATCAAGCACCTCCGAAAATCACGAAGACGTATTTGACATCCAGTGACTGGAAAATCTCCCAAGCTTGTCGCTCCGGTGAAGACATTGCTGTTCCCACGGTGGCTATGTGCGTATTGTTCCATGTGTTGTTGTCTACAATGACAGTCCTGTTTGCCATTGCTGTCGTTTGATAGCCATAATCCCACCACGACGCCACCTTCAGTGTTTAATGAATCTTTAGCAGGGAATACATGTGCCACAAACAGACCTTGTCATCCTCGCCCGTATTGTGGTTGAGCCAGGCATATGCTTCACGGAAGTCGTCAAAAACGTGTAAACCACCGTCAGGAGTCTGTGATGTCAGAACTATTGACGGCGCAGAGTATGCTTCTGCTGCAGCCCAAACACAATGCACCTATACTTGCCAGTGTTAAAACCATATACAGGACAAACAAGAAAAGTAGACATACCACATAGAAACTCCCCATTATAAGGAGAAGAAGAATGCCCACGGCAGATGCTTCCATGGGCAAGCCAAGAAGCCTCTTTCGCTTTTTCTCCACTTCTTTCTCCACAGTTTTCTTTTTGCCTCTCTTCGGCGCCTTGTCCTTCACTTCCTTAACGCTAGCTTCGTTTTCATTCGTGCTGTTCAGTGTTGCAGTGTTGTCTACTGCAGCGCTCTACAATAAAAATTCGATGGACTTTAGAACGTGGAAACGAAAACAGTAAACTTGCCTCCGATAAGTCTTGATATTTGATCGATCTAGTGAGGACGGCGAATGCTTCCGACAAGGCAATTCCTGATAGAACACAAGCTGCTGGAGCCAGCACAAGCATCAGCCGCACCTTTACACACACAGTCGTTAGATATTCCGGAAGATTGGAATATTTTACTAACCATGACACCAGAAAAGTAGACTGAAGTCACCAGGTACAGCACGACGAACGAGCTCGAGTCGGAAAGAGGAAGAAAGCATGCCTATTAATCACAACTTCAGAAAAACAAATCTTCACAACATGTAAACGAACTTACGATAATACCAGCTGGAACGAGAAAAGCGAGCACATTGATATCCATAAAGTAGGATGGCCATGTCGGCGGCTGATGTTCACTGACACTGGCTATTATAGGAATGTACTTGCTCGCATAAGTCCTGCGTCAGAAAAAGAAAAAACATTACCACCGACCTTTAGGAAACAAGGTAAAAGCTTACGGATCAAGTAGACTCAAGCTTCTCCCACTCCAGCCTTTCGTGGGACTCGCAGCTACCATTGCGGCCAGTATTGCTATTAAAGCAGCAGCTCCCGCCCTGAAAACCAAAACCATTGAATAAAAGTAGAAACTCAAATGGCACGCTCATACATGCCAAAAGTGATAACAAATGACACCGCTGTGCTATATTGTTTGGGGCTTAGTACTCGTTTAATGTAGTGTGCAAGAGCTGCTACGTGGATAATTACAAAAACCTGATAGTAACGACAATGTCATGCGTCAAGTTCGGCAAAAGTATGTACCAAGAAGGACGCAAAATGCTCAGACGTCATAACAGCGTTGAAGCCAACAACAGGAACCAAGGCGGCCAGAAGTGTTCCGAGTATAACCTGAAGAAGCTTTATACTGTTATGCTCTGAAGCAAAACTCAAAAAAGTATACTTGCCAAAGGTGCATATGCTATATACAACCGTGATGAGTATCTCCCAGTCACAATACATAGGAGGACATGCATCGGAATCAAATTGATGATAAACGTATAACCTCCCCAGGAACAAACCTGAGAACGAGAGCAAAGCTGAATCAGATTTATAAACATACAAAAGAGTACCATGTAGAAATAGGCAAGGGCATTGAGCGTTGCATAGAAAAGAGATCCTGTATTCAGCGTCTGGACAGAGTACAAATGAGAAACACTCGAGAAACCGGTAGCAAGAGAGCTCACCTTAACGTAAAGGTAAAATGTGAATATCAAAGCAAAGATAGCAACTGCTTCATTGTCATAACTTCCCGCTACAGACCGAGAGATGTAGGACGGGACCTGGAATAATTACAGCGTGAAATAGAATAAGAAAACAAGACAAGACAAATTCCTGTTCCTTACCATTGCGAGAAGTGCAGCAGCTGTTAGGCCAGCACCTCGTCCTTTGACTTCCTGCAAGTTCAAGAGCATATCAGACCAGGCAGTGACAAAATAAATTTCATGTACGCTAGTTAGCAAGTATGTCGCCCATGCCGCAAACGATGAGAAAATGGGAGCCGTGAACACACAGACTGTCTCAACAGACAGAGGGATGTTGAATGCGTTTAAGATCCTGCAAATTACATCAAGCGTCAGAGAGAAAACAAACAAGCCAAAGTTTAGGAACGCAGAAACAAAAACACATACCACCACATTGTTCCCGCTGTTATCGTGAGCCCGGGGTACACTGTGCCGCCTATGACACGGCCAAGTGGATACCTGTATGAATTTCCATCTTTTATCACACACACACAACTTATACGAACAACCGAAGCTTTACCAAGTCCGATCGTCAAACCAGTTCCAAAACTCGTAGATTCCAGCCTTTGTAAGGTACTAAAAGACAGAAACGCAAGAAAAAGTTCTAGATTTTGAGCCTTCAAACTCTAAGATCGCAGACCTTCGTGACCCGATAGTTAAAATACGGATCGAATTCGTGGATGACACTCTCGTACTTGATAACCTGCAATGCGAGCTCATTCTCCGCGAAATATCCATCCCACTCACCGAGAAGAGGCGGATCGAGAATGCCATGATCCCGATGAGGCACAGGATGAGCGCCGCAAGAACAGTGCCGAATGCGCGTTTGCCGCTGCCACTGACGAGCGCGCCGCCGCCGACGCCAGTGCTGCCGATCTTCTTGCCGCGCTCCATCACGGCGGCGTCGGCAGCAGATCGATCTTCCATCGAGCTCTTGGAGCTCGGCAGCTAGGGCAAAAGCCCTCCGTACATTCGTACAATCTTAACACTGTTAGGTGGTAAACCAAATTTGCGTGACATCGACCCGGGTTCGATCCCGGGTGGCCGAAATTAGGGCTCCTGGGAAGAACCCTAAAAGAAGGAGGGTGGTGTAATAAAGAGGTGCTCACATGGGAGTCGCCATCGTGCGCCAGAGGAAGTGTCTACAAACTTATAACTTGTTGCACGGGATTTTTAACGTGGTCTCTCGCGCCTCTCACGGACTGCCCCTGCTGCGCTGCAACCTTGCTCCACGAATTTAATTCTCACGCAAGGACAACCGATCGATCGAGCAAGCAAGCAAACAGTTTTCCCTCCATCCATAACTTGAAAATCCAAAGAACTCGCAAGCAAGCAAGCAAACAAGAGAATTACCCTTGGGTCACCTTCGGTCCAGTCCAGGATCAAGACATAGCTCGAAAGAAAGCTTTGTTTTTGGGGGATTTTCTGGATCCAGGGTGGTGGTGGTGGCTTGGGGCGCGTTTGCTTGCTGGAATTCTCCAGGAATTTAATGCGGCGAGTACAGTTTTTGCCAGAAGGCACGCACACACACAACCCAATCAATCATCTCACTAGATTTTAAGTGCCAACGGTATAAAAACGTTCAAATCAATCCCATATTATTTCCTGATTTCGTGACACTTTTCTTTTTCGTGATCTTCTCCTCCTTCCTCTTTGTTGTTGTTCTTCATGGCTTGTTTGCTCCTCGCCTCATTCATTGAGGCATAGTCATTGTACCATCAGAGCACTCCCTCCTTGGTTCTGATTCGCGATGGCGCTGCTGCCTAGGGTTCTTGCTCCAATCGCTCTCGACTTGAGGTAAGCGAAAGTGGTTTCTTGCTTTGTTACTCGTACAGCTTCTAGAGTGTCAAATCCGTAGGTCTCAGGAACTTTGTCTCTCTCTTTTTCCAGCACCGAAAACACCCAGGAATCGGGTGTTGATCACGCCAGGCCTCGACTTTGATTCGGACAATGGATGATCCCAGTCGCTCCATTCCCTCCAGAGAAAGAGAGAAGACGAAGAAGCAACGCTGCCAGGAAAAACAAAAACAACACCACCACAGCGCTCTAAGACGATTTCTACACCAAAGCTTCCATTCCAGCCAGCGCCATTCTCTCCAATCTCCCTTCCTCTCTTCCCGATGATCATGGGAGCACCACCAGGAGGGAAGCTCCTCCTCGCTCTCTCGCTGCTCCTTTCGATCGAGCCCCTCCACTCGAGCAGCAGCGGCGGCGGCGATATCAAAATCTCCTCCAGGGGCGACGCATTCGCTCTTCGCCATCTCCGCTACTCGCTCCAGGTCCGCAACTTCTACTGGCCAAAGTCGGCACAGGATCCATGCTCGTCGTGGCGTGGCATCCAATGCGATGAGCAAGGCCGGGTCGTGGGGATCCATCTTGCGGGGCTCAAGAGGACAGTGGCCGGGATGGCGCAGCCCAGCTTCTCGGTGGATCCACTTCGAAGCCTGCCACTCCTCCGCTACTTGAATGCGTCGGGCTTCCATGCACGGGGTCTACTTCCGTACTGGATCGGCGAGCTCTCCCAGCTCCAGGTGCTCGATCTCTCGTCTTGCTCCGGCTTGCAGGGCTCCATTCCGGATTCTCTCGGGCAGCTCCGCCAGCTCAAGTTCCTCTCCTTGTCCGGGAACAACTTAACCGGGGGTCTTCCGTACAGTCTCGGCAACTTGGTCGCTCTCGAGGCGCTCAATCTGTCGTCCAACGGGCTGAGCGGTGGGATCCCGGGATCGTTCCAAGCGATGAGGAGGCTGGTGACTCTCGACGTATCGAGGAATCTCTTGGACGAGCTTCCTCGGCTGGGTAGTGGCGATAGTGGCGGCGTTAATGGATCGCAGCCATGGTTTGAGCGAATTGAGGTTTTGGATCTCTCCAGCAACAGGATCAATAGCTCGCTCCCGCCGGAGCTGGGAAAGCTGGCGAGCTTGCGAGTTCTCGACTTGTCGCGGAACTCTCTCGGCGGGACGATCCCTGCCGGGATTGGATCGCTCGCGAGGTTGACGAAGATGGATCTCTCGCGCAACAATTTGACCGGGTTCCTTCCTCGCGAGCTCTCGTCGCTGGCCAGGATGGAGGCGCTGGTTCTGTCTCACAACGAGTTCTATGGGAGCTTGCCGGAGGGGTTGACGGCACTCAAGTCGATGGCGTTCTTGGACCTCTCGAGCGATTATCTAAACGGCACTGTTCCAGACGAGATCACGTACACGACCGCGCTGGCCGGGAATTGCTTCGAGAATGTGGCTAGGCAGCGCTACCAGAAAGATTGCCAGCGCTTCTACACGTCCAGGGGATTGGAACTCTCCGGCGAAGTTGGAATGCTTCCCACCGCCACGCCGATCGTGGGATCGTCACTGGGAGGAAGGCTTGCGGGCAGCAACAAGAAGAGCAAGAAGCAGCACGTAGCAGCGATCCTGGGTGGAATTCTCGGGAGTTTTGGATTCATCATCGCGGTGGTGGCGATCGTGCATGCGTTCCAGCTCCGCGACCAGCGGCGGCGGAGGAGATCGAGCTCCTCGTCCAAAGACGATCGTGGATCGCAGCAAACCGGCGGCTCCATGCGACACCACGACCAAGAGCAAGCCAACGTCACGGTAAACCTCGCATGCATCGGTGAGGCGTTTAGCTTCGCGCAGCTCCAGCGTTCCACCCAGGACTTCAACCCGGTTAACTTGATCAAGGCTGGTCACACCGGCGACCTCTACCGCGGTATCCTGGACGGTGGCTTGCTCGTCGTGGTCAAGAGGGTGGACGTAACTTCGCTCAAGAAGGATTTCTTGCTGTCCGAGCTCGAGTTTTTCAGCAAGGCATCGCACACGAGGCTGGTGCCTCTTCTCGGCCACTGTCTGGAGCGGGAAAATGAGAAGTTTTTGGTGTACAAGTACATGCAACACGGAGATCTCGCGCGCGCTTTGCATCGGAAGATCGTCCCGAGTCCGCCGAAAGATATCTTGCAATCGCTCGACTGGATCACCCGGCTGAAGATCGCGATCGGTGCTGCCGAGGGATTGAGTTATCTCCACCACGAGTGCTCGCCAGCGCTCGTCCACAGGTACTTGGGAGAAGTTTTCGCTTTGCTTGCTAATGTTCTTGCTGGTGATCGCAGGGATATCAAGGCTACCAGCATTCTTCTCGATGACAAGTTTGAAGTGAGGCTTGGAAGCTTGAGCGAGGCTCGGATTCAAGATGGAGGAGTTCATCCAAATCTTATCATGCGTTTTCTTCGCAGCAGATCACAGTAAGTTTCCTCTTGCTTGGTTTCATTCTTTCGTAAATTGGCTGACAAAAAGTGATGTCTTTTCGCTTGTAACCAGGACTTCCGAGCAAGACCCAGGTACAAACACAAACTTTACAAACTTTGTTCTAGTTTCTTGCTCAAACGTTGTTTGTTTTTCCGTGTAGATTCTCCAGTGGCATCGTGTGCTTACGACGTCTACTGCTTTGGCAAAGTCCTCCTCGAACTCGTCTCTGGAAAGCTCGGAATAAGTGGAACCATGGATCCCGGCGCTGATACGTGGGTGGAAACCATACTCCCGCTCATCGACCGGCACGAAAAGGAGAACTTGAGCAAGATCGTGGACTCGTCGCTGCTCGTCGACGATGATCTCCTGGAGGAAGTATGGGCAGTGGCGATCGTCGCCAAGATGTGCCTCAATCCAAAGCCATCCAGGCGGCCAGCGATCCGCCAAGTTCTCAAAGCTCTGGAGAACCCACAGCGAGTGGTGAGGGAGGAGAACTTCACAGCCTCGCTGAGGAGATCCTCGCATAGCTCCTGGAATGGCTCCCTGTTTGGGAGCTGGAGGCACAGCTCGTCGGAGACGGTGATCCCGGCGACTCTCAAGGAGGAGAGCTTGCAACCCGATCATTACGGAGGAGCGTCGAGCATCCGGAAGCATTCCCATTCCCAGGGATCTTTCCAAGACCATGGTCACCACCACCGGAGGCCTGGGTCGAGCGAGATCTTCCCGGAGCCACTGGAAGGCCAGCAACATCACCAACATCACTCCTGAGGCTAAATAACATAGTCAACTTAGATGGCAAAGCTGGCAAAGTTTCAACATTTTAGCGTCAACCTTCCAGAAAAGAGATGGCAAAGTTCCAAGAGTCACGACTCTATTGTCAAGCTTCCACGAAAGAAGTCGTACTTCTGCCATGAAAGAAGTATAAACCTTATAAAAAAGTTGGCGCGTGGATTGCCATGTGGCATGGTTATAGCAATGCTCCCGACTTAATAAGCAAGTAACACCTGGTCGCCTGCTATTGAAGAGTTCTTCCACGAAATCTAGATGCTCTATAAGAATTCTCCATTGTTTTCATTTAGAGAAAGAGTAAACGAGAGAAGAAAAAATGGGATCTCAAGGAGCTGCCATTGTTCCGCATATAGTTGCCATTCCATTCATATGGCCAGGGCATATCACTCCACTCCTCCATCTTTGCCAGCACTTGGCAGCGTCGGGGTGTCTCGTCACGCTCCTCAAGACCCCCGAGAATTCACAGAGCGTTGGCGCCGAGAAGTGGGAAAATGGCGTGCGAATCAAGTCGTGCCTCCCGCTCGATCCATCCAAGCCCCTGCCGGCAGTTCACAAGGACGATCAGGCCGCGAAATTGGACGAGATCCTGCGCTACTTCAATCGTTTCCAGGCTCTCAATGACGACGGGTCGGTGCTGACGATCGCGGAGGAAGTGGGAAAGAGCTCTGGCGTCCCGATCTCTTGCGTGATCTCGGATGTTTACGTTGGCTGGGCTCGCGATCTCGCCGCCAAGCTGGAGGTGCCGTGGATTGCGCTGTGGACGTCGACTGTGGCGGAGCTTCTCGTGTATTACCACATGCCACGCCTCATCGCGCAGGGCATTTTTCCATTCGCAGGTAACAGCACCAAACTTCTCTCTGCCAAATTTCTAAACCTCTGTTCCTCATTTCCCAGGCAATCCATCCCACGAGAAATTCTCGATTCCAGGGCTTCCATCGCTGCAGCCAGAAAATTATCCCACTTTTGGGTTGATCCCATTCGAATCTCTCCACAAAATTCTCCACACTTTCAAGGAATTGGTCCAGATGATTCCCCGGGCTGACAGAGTGCTGGTGAATTCGATCGAGGGGGTTGAAGGGAAAGCAATCGATTCTCTGCGCAGCAGCGGGGTAAACATCAAGCCCATCGGGCCACTGCATCTCCTCTCCGAGAAATTGGGCACCAGCGCCCCGCAAGGAGAAGCCGAATGCAAAAAGGAGAGCGAGATCATCCAGTGGCTGGACGCGAGGCCAGATTCCAGTGTGATCTACATCGCATTTGGCACTACGATGTCAGTAGCCAATGGGCAATTCGAGGAGCTCGCGTCGGCTCTGGAAGAATCGAGGCAGGAATTCGTGTGGGCGATTAGAGATTCGTCGTTGATTCCTCCCGGATTTCAGGAAAGAATGTCCAAACTAGATCAAGGGCTTGTGGTGTCCTGGGCGCCCCAGCTGGAAATTCTGGGACACAGATCTGTCGGTGGATTTCTCACCCACTGCGGCTGGAATTCTGTCACAGAATCCATGTCATTTGGAATGCCCATGGTGACTAGGCCCATTTCCGGCGACCAAGTTCTCACGGCGAAGTTTGTGATCGACGAATGGGGCATTGGAGTTGGAGTGCGAGGGATTGAAATTGGGTTAGAGCTAGCGCGCAAGGATGATCTCAAGAACTCGATCAAAGCTCTTATGGAAGCCGACCCAAAAACTAGCGAGATTTGGAAGAATGCCAGGCACATCAAAGAAGTGGTAAGAACTGCCATGAAGAACAAAGGATCTTCACGGAATAATCTCGACTCTTTGGTGTGTGATTTACATCAGCGTGTCAAAAGCACTTAGATAGATTTTATATTTTTTTTTTGTAATAAGAGGTAATACTACCATAATTTATACTCTATAATACTAAATATATCACTAAAGTTTTCAAACTTATCATTTTGTTATTGGTGATTCATATAAAGTGAAGTCTACTCTTTCATCAAGATTTTAGATTGGGTTATTTAGTAATAAATTGTTATTAACAATTTTTTATTTGTTTAAATAAACCTGTAAAGGGACCAGTGTAATAATGAATATATTTAAAATATATTTAAATACTTAGAATATTTAACTATTTAATGATATTATTTTAAATCATGATAGGATAAAAAGCTATTGTATATAATACCAATATTATAGACTTAACTATTTTTATAGTTTAATTAACCTTTCAACTATATCATTCAAAGTAATAAATTATTATTTATACTATTTTATATACTTAACTTTATGTGATTAACATACAATATATACAATGTTTACAAGTTCAAATAGATTCTAAGTTGTGATGAAGACTTTAATTTTTATGGAGATAACTTTAAAGATGAGTTGGGCTGGACTATTGCATTTTTGTATTATCTCCAAGCAATGCTCTCTCTCTTGCATCTCTTAATATCATATTGTTATATAAATTATTATTGCTTTCAATATAAGTTTAGCAATATTGTCCATAGTCCAAAGATTTAGCATGGTAATTATCAATTATTGAATCTACTATTTGATTTTTTCTTTTTACCTTTTACTCTTTCCCAACCCTTTCTTATTTTTTAGCCGAACCACATTTTTATATTTCTAGTGTTTCTTCCTTATTTGTAATGTTTTTTTCTCCTAGCACATTGATCATTTTTTACTCTTATGATTCTCATTATAAATTTGGTGTTGAGTTGTATGTTTTTTTAATCTTTTTTATACTAATATAAATATTGAGTATCTACATGAAGTTGAGAATTTTGTTTTTGTTTCTTTGGTAGAGTTTTTAATTAATTATCATATCCCTTATTCCAAGAGTTTGAGTCACTTTGGCCAGAGTTTCAAATTAAATATATATCTCCACTTGTGAGTGCTATTAAAAGCTTTTGTTTTACAATTGTTACTAAGGAGTTAATTATAAGTGATTAATTTTTCCATTCTACTTTAGTCACTTAACCACACCTCCAACCACTTGGAGGAGTCTCATTCACAACCTTCATAAGTTCTATTTTGGACTTAGGGACTTGTTAGCCCCCCAGAATGGCATCCATGCCACTCAACTATTGCACTTGATCCAAGTGCTCCATGTGTCTGATCCCATGACCGACACCACAAGGTACCACCGACATATCAGCCTGTTACGCTAAAGCTATGCCCATTCACCTTGGTCACATTGGTGGTTTGACACCACTTACATTACAGTCCCGTCTCTCAAAGACTAGGTCATCTGTCCATGAGTGATTGTCCCAGATCCACTCCTTAGCATCCTTAAGATGCCTACAGACATGGGGAATAGCCTTCCCCAACATCCCTTTTCCGGTCTCCATCAAGTCCCTTTCTGCCCATGGTCGTGTTCCCCAACACTGCTATTGGATCGAGGCCCATAGGCCCGACCACTAAGTCCCACGGTCCTCTTTTCCACGGTCTGGGCTTTTAGGACAACATTTCGAAACACCGTGGCTCTACGTGGGCCTCATGGGTACTTGTAATCCACAAATTTTTCCTTTCCAATTTGCCAGCTTACCTCGTCTATCCAACCAACACTGCTTTGGCTTGTGCTAAGTTCCCTCGCCAAGGTTCACGCCTATTGTACCAGCTCCTACTTGGTCCTACTTGGTTTCAACTACTCACTGCACGAGCAACGGAGCGTTAGCCATCCATCCACAGATTCCCAAATCTCTCCCAATCCCCCTCCCCAAGTTAGGCTGGACTTAAGGTTCGGCTACACTCCCCGCAGGCACAAGCAGCCAAGCACACCAAGCCTTTAGGTTCCTAACACCCCTTGGTACAACAAGACTTGATCATGGGACCCTCTAAATCCCAAGCCTTGTATGCAACACTTGCTTCGGGACATCGGGGCGAAACACCGTGGCCTAACGGCCCGGTATGGGTACCTCTACCCCCCCACTTCCATCCCGATGGGAAGGCCCAAGCCTCTAGGAAGGGCGAGGACAGTGGGGCACCACTCCACATGAGTCGGGAGCACCGCAGTCGGTTTCCCTTTCGGGAGTGGGAGCTGCTCTTGAGCACTTCCCTGGGTGGCCCCTCCGGCACCACCCAAGCCCATGCTCACTCCCACCCAAGGCCCCTCGACCCCAATCTCAACCTCAAGTCAGTTTGGAAGCACCACTGGAGAGTTCCTTCAAGACTAGTCTTGGACCTCATTATCCCTACTATACTTTTGGAACCCCCTGCAGCACCCTCCCCCTAGGAGACGCACGCTTTGGGCTTTCACCCCTTGACCCGTATTAGTATTTGGACTTAGTCTCAGATTCGATCTCGGACTCGATCTCGAACCCGACTTCGGACTCGGTCTCGGACCCGATCTCGGACTCGACTTCGGACTCGGTCTTGGCCCGATTTGGATCTCGGACTTTGTCTCGAACTCAGTCTCGAACTCAGTCTCCGATTCGGCCTCGGCTCGATCCCGGACTCTATCTCGAACTCGGTCTCAGAGTCGGTCTTGGACTCGATCTTCGACTCGGTCCCATCCGATGAACTCTTTGTCATTTCGGTCATGCTTTCGGGGATCCTTTAGCCTATGACATCTCAGGCAGTCGGTTCCTTACAGTACTCTCCCCCCCTTCCGCTTTTGGGTGCTCTAACCATGGGCTTAGAGCGAGGTTCTGTTGAGCCACGCTAGGTATCCAAGTAGGTAGTGCCACCCACACTTGGACTGGGAGCATCGGCCAGTCGATCTCTCGGGGGAACTAGAGCCGGCTCTAGAACACTTCACCAAGTTACCCCGCTTGTCGGTCCGTGTTCATTCTAGTCTTGGACTTCCCAATGGGCAGCTCATCACCCAACACTAGGTACAGCCTTTCCTAGCCAAACTGGCCTTTCCTGGCCAAATTGGCTCCACTGCAGTCCTCCCCCTTACTATACTTTTGGAGCTCACCAAACCCCCTAGGGTTTGGGAGACGAACGCTTTGGGCTTTCATCCTCTCAGACTTGAACTCGGACTCGGACTCGGTCTCGGTCCCGGTCTCGGTCCTAGTCTCGGTGTCGACCTTGGACTCCATCTCGGGTCCTTCTTGGACTCCATCTCGGATTCCATCTCGGGTCCATCTTGGACTCCATCTTGGGTCCATTTCGGACTCCATCTCGGTCCATCTCGTCTATCTCGGACTCCATCTCGGACTCCAACTTAGGTCCATCTCGAACACTTCCACGTGTCATGTGTTGGTCCTTTTGGGTCCCTTTTTGGAGCCTTGCTTATTGCTCGCTTCGTGCTTGTTCCTTGAGCACTTTGTTGGGAGTTCCACTCCCGCTCTTGACCTGTCAAGTTGGAGCTTTTAGTCCAAACGTGTTACGCTCATTTGGATTTCGCTTCAGCCACTACCACATGGCGCCCTTCCGGCTCCACTTTGGGGCCTAGGGATTTTGTGTCTCACAACTCCACCACCCATAGACAAAGTTCGATGTCCTCATCGAACGGTAAACCCTTTTATAAAGTAATACCCACATGTATTACCATTTCCATCCTTGGCACCTAGCTAATATTTGTCTATGGTTTGACACCAAAGGCTCATCATGCCTTGTCCATCCTCTAAGGAGCATAGTCTCTCTAACATAGAGACTCATTCGACCACCTGGGGTGGTTTGCTCCCTTTTATTGGTTCAGTTCTCACTAAACCCGTTAGAGACTCCCTCTCTAACTCAATTCCACTATTCATTCTCGAGTAGTCTCAGATTCCATCGACATCACCTTTGCACTTTGGGAAGTTTTAATTTTGACTTCTCACAGTCAATTTCCTAGGTGTCTCCGACACCTTACGTTGCACATGGTGCAACTCCACTTCCCCATCCTAGGAAGTTCTTTACTTGAGGGCACCATCATCCTATCCTCTCTTCAATATCATGCCACATTTGGCATTAAGTTCTAGTTATCATAATTTGTGCTAGGGCTACCCACGGCTTACCACTCCCCCTTTTGGGGCTTCCCCTTTCGCCAAATTGGAGCGGTTGGGAATCCATCCTTGGGGAAACATTGCTTTTCCCACAATCCGTTAACACCCAACACATTAGTGTTCTTGGCTTAACTTTGCCATTTGAATTCTTTCCCCTGATTCCCATGGCTCTTTTCTTAGCCACTAGTCTTTTGGTCCTATCCTTGATTGTTGCACCCAGCAACATAGGATCGCTATCTTTAGTTTTGAGGTTTCTTTTCGATTCCATAGAAAACACTTTGCTTTGCCAAGTCCAGAGGGTGTTCACCCCTAGTACGTCTCTTTAACATTTACTGTTATGGGCTCTATCCACGGCCCAACCTTTGAGACCCTCCTGTAAGCAACCAAAGGGAACGACTTGAGAGACGATCCATGGGGTTCAAATATAGAGGGAAAGGGCCCATGAACAAGAGTGCACCCCCTTTTCCAATCGGTTAAGGGTCTTGGGATATTTGGGGTTAAGCGTCCTTGGGTTTGAATAGTACTGGGCTGGGTGACCTCCCGGGAAGTCCAAACTTAGGAGCTTACATTTGGTATCGGAGCGGTCTTAGGTCCGACTCTGTTGGTTGGCTAGGGGAATCACACCACATGTTGATTGACATCTGGCTGGTCCAGTTTGCTCCCGCTGGGCTCGACCCGAGGGGTAGGGTGTCAAGAGAGCGGGGCTCTCGGGAGAGCTGCGGCTCTCAGCTTCCGTTCACGAGGGCGTGAACTTGTAGGGAAGCGTGGTGGATTGTAAGCAACCAAAAGGAACGACTTGAGAGACGATCCATGGGGTTCAAATATAGAGGGAAAGGGCCCATGAACAAGAGTGCACCCCTTTTTCCAATCGGTTAAGGGTCTTGGGATATTTGGGGTTAAGCGTCCTTGGGTTTGAATAGTACTGGGCTGGGTAACCTCCCGGGAAGTCCAAACTTAGGAGCTTACATTGTTGTAAGCGAGCTTAAAAAGTTGTAAGCGACTAATTTTTC